AGCTGGCTGCGGGACGCTGGCTCCTCTCACAGGCCAGGATGGTCAGAGAGCCGCCCCCAGCACCAGGCAGCCCAGAGGAGCCCCGGGCTCCCTTGGCCTCACTCAGGAAATGCCCCAAGACCGGGTTCCCCCTACTGCCAGCAGCAAGCAGGCCCCAGCCCCTCCCGCCCAGCCCGGGCCTGTCCCCTGGTGCCCAGCAGACCGCAGCCCCCCTCCTGGCCCCACCCCTGCTTCCGTCTGCAGCCCCACTTCCGTGCCCTTCTGTGCAGCACTGCCATCTGACACCAGCCCCAGGCTTGGCCCTCGGTTTCTGGCTCCATAGGATGGTCTGTGCTCCGTCCACCTCCCCATCTGCTGGCAAAGCCAGGTCTCTGTCCCAGGGCTCAGCGCAGCTCTGCCACATGCCAGGCTCTGGGTCCATGGGTAGCTGGGAGCTGTAAGCCCTGCCCTTCTAACGATAAGACCCTCTGAGCAGCCAGCTTTGGGCCAAGGAAAAGCCTCCCTGCTGCGGCCCCAGGGACAGGCCCCTGCTCCAGAGGGGACTCACCAGGCAAGGTTCTGGCCCCCCTCCCAGCAGCCCGGTGGCCTCCACCTGCTTGGGAGGGGGCATCCGAGCGAAGGTCCCCCGCCACCCCCTCCCAAAGCTGGAGATTCAGACTGGCCGCTGACCGACTGTGCCCCTGAGAGTCACTGACGGAGAGTGACACCGGCACCAGGACTCGGGCTTGGGGGCTTCTGCTCCGTCCACGCAGAGGCAGGTTCTGCTTCCCTTCCAGAGCCAGGCTGCCTTCCACCGGAGGGGACAAGGACCCTTGGCCAGCCCCCGGGTGCTGGCACATGAGGGCCCACAGTCACCGCTGCTGGGTGGCAGACGGGGGTGGGGGTGGGTTGTCCTCCCTTCCCAGCCACAGGTCACCCCGAGGGTGAGGTGCCAGATCCTCCTGGGCCCCTGCACCGGGCAGGGGCTGATCCCAGGAAGGCAGCTGCGAATGCCGGGCAGGCCGCCAGCAGGCTGCTCAGCAGGAAGGTGAAAGGCAGGAGCTTCAGAGAGCTGGGCTGGCACCTGCACATCGAATGTGGGGCGCAGCAGGGCGATACCTCCAGGGACTCAGCCAGCCCCAGACCAGGTACGCCCCAGGGGCCTTCCTGCAGCCTTTTTCACGAGGCCGGGCGCTTAGGACGAGTTCCTGTATGCGGAGATGGCCGCACCTGGCACCCACCCAGGATGAGGATGCCGTCTAAATCTGCTCCAGAAGAAAATGCAGGTGGTTGAGGGAAAGGAGGCCACTGTAAGCTGCCAGGGGTGGGCCGGCGGGCACGGGGGACCTGCAGCAGAGGCAGACCCTCTTTCTGCTTCACAGTTTTCTCTATTTTTCGAAGCATCTCCCCTGAGCAAGTCTTGCTTCATAGTTGAAGAAAGGAAATAAAGCCAGGCACGGCACAATGCTGGTGAGAAGCCCCAAGGAAGATCTGAGCACACCTGGAAGTGGGCACACCCCAGGCCACACACTGCACCCGACGTGCCCTCAGCCCTTCCCCAGCCTCGGGCCCGGACCCCCCACCACGGCCTCTCCAGCCGAGCTCAGTAAGGCTGCAGGCCTGGCCACCACTGCAGCCACCAGGGGCCTGAGAGCTTCAGGAACAGGAGAGCACCTGCCAGGGCTCCTGAGCCGGCAGGGGCCTCAGCAGCCCACAGCCGAGCAGTGGCCCCATCCACCCAGAGGGGTACCAGGGAGGACCTTCCAGTGCTCAGAGGCCCAGAGACCCAGGCAGATGCAGCACCCGAACCCAGAGACTAGCAGCGGCCAGTACGCACACGCCTTCCGTCCTGCCAAGACCCAGGCGCTCAGGCCCAGCACTCGGTCCTGCGCCTCGCCCCTCCCTGGGGCTGGGACCTGGGGCAGCCGCTCACCCCCTGAGGAGTCAGGCCCCGTCTCCCTGCAGGGCACAGCCTCTATGTCTGTCCAGCCTGAACTTCATGCCCAACCCTGACCCCCTTCCCTTCTGGCATCATGACCCCAGTGACATGACAAAGGAGGCCACTCTCAAAGCCTGGTGGGTGTGCTGTCAGGACCAGGGAGGGGCCCGGCCTGGGGAGCTCGGGCCCTCACGTCACACCCCGAGGCTCCAGCCCCATGCCAGCCCCTCACCCCATCACCCTCACCTCCAGAACAGCTGGTTAGCAGGTCCCCCCATCCTTTACCTGGGGATGATTAAGTACTTTACATGAAAGCTGTTACCATGGGTACACACAAATGGAGTAGGTAAGCCCCACCATGGAGGCGGGGGCTGTCATATCCCTGGTGCTGTCCCCCTGCCCCCAGCCAGACCCCTCCCTCTCCCCGGGGGTGAGTGACAGAGCCTAGGGACTCGAGGCCGCACTCACTGGCTCGCCTGGAGAGCAGGGCCTGTGCCCCATTGTGGACATGGCAGCTGAGGGACCCAGTGGGGTGGCACAGAGCAGTGCTCGGTAATGCCACTGGGCTCTGCGTGCGTCGCCAACCCAGGTGGCCCCAGAGCAGACCCCAGGCCCACACATCCCGGGCGCTGCTCTGACCCTCACCCACACACCCACATGGGGACACAGCTGGCATCAGCTGAGGCAGGCGCTGTGGCTCATGGGAGCCCAGATGTACTTCAGTCCAAAACAAGGAGCCCCTGACTGCCAGAGGGACACAGCCCATGGCCACTGACTGTCCCTGGGAGCCTCCATACACGGCGACCTGCTCCACAGGCTCTGAGTCTGTCACCCGGCCTGAGGGCACCTGCTGCCTGCTTGGCTGGAAGACCTCCCCCTGCTCCCTGGCACCAGTGCCCCTGGATCCAGTAGCCTCCCCACACCTAGGACTGCAGGCTCCCTCCAGAGGGCCCTGAGACTGGGCCCTAGGGGCTCTGGGCTCTGGACGAGGGGCACACAGCCTCCCCTGTCCCTTCCAGCCACCGGTTTCTCTGGGTGTCCTCTCCAGACCCAGTGGGAAAGCAGGGCCCCAGAGCCTGGGTGGGGCCGTGTGCCTCTGAGCAGACACCCCCAGTGGCGGAAGGCTTGTCAGGGCACATCCGGGGAATGTGGGAGAACCAGCCGTGCACTCTGCAGGGCACGGGAGTCCCAGAGTGTGAACACGGGCCGCCATGCGCACACACAGACCCTCACAGGTGTGCGTGCAGGAACATGTGTGCACACACGTGCAGAGGCTCACTGTCATTACTGCTGTGCTGGGGAGCAGCCACCAAGCAGTGACCCCTGACCCCCACAAGGAAGAGTGGGTTCTTGGGTGCACACGTCAGCACAGGTGCGTTCCCCCCACAACTGGATGCATGCCCGTCACCACACCTGAGCAGCCCACGCTGTTCACACGCGCACCCTCACCCCTGGGGCCCTCTGTCTTTGGCCTCTCCCCACTTCCCGGAAGAACGGGGTCAGGGTCCCACAAGCTGTGGTACCTGCAAAAAGGAGCCAGAAGGAGCCCCCCAACACCCTGCACACTGTGCAGCCAGAGGGCAACCTGCCGGCCGGCACAGGGCACAGCACACCAGGCACTCAGGAGCTGAAAGGCCCAGCCCTCGCTCCCCAGGGTCCCCCACATGGGGTGGGCTCCAGAAGCCCCCCATGGGGAGACCCCCGCCTATCAGGCCAGGAACCATGCCTGAGAAGAGAACCTTCCTGAGATACAGGGGTGCGCCTGCCCCCAGCAGGGCTCAGACCCCACAGTGCCCTGGGTGCCGAGAGCAGCCGCGGAGTAGTCCTGCCCGCTCCCAGTGGGCTGAGCTGCCCCTTACCCTGGGGTAAGTGGCCTAGAGCAGCGGCTCCTGAGTTGGGGCGGGCAGGCCCCAGGCCAGGGGGTGGCAGCTTAGCCAGGGCTTGAGACCTGAGGCCTGGGGCAGCACGCTGGGGCCTCAGCTCAGCCCACCATGCTGGACACCCAGAACAGAAAGCAGCCTGCTGATCTGGGCCTGACCGGACAAGCCCCCGCCTCCCAGACAGCCTGGGAGCAGCCTACAGGCTCACACCCAAGAGGTGTGTGCTTCTGGCACGTGGGCAGATTCCACCTGGCTGGACATGGCCATGGAGCAGGTTATAAGCAGGAGGAGCCCATGCCGGCCAGGAGGGGCAGGCTGCATGGGCACCCACCTTTCCTGCTGGGAGGGATCTCACGCCTGGCCAGGCTCACCTGTAAGCCTGTAAACCTGTGCAATACCAAATGTTGGAAGTCAAAATGCAGCAAATAACTGTATGGCAGTGGAGGCTGGATTGGCAGTTATCTCGGGGGCCAAGGGGGCAGCCCCAGGGAGGGGCAGGTGGGGCCACCCTGCCTCCCAGTTGGGTGGTGGCTCTCTGTACAGGGCCTCACCAGCCAGTGCCTGAGGTCCATGCACCCTACAATGCACATGTCGTAGTCCCACCTCTTTAAGGTTGACAGAGGGAGGGCAGCGCACGCTCCAAAACCAGCGTGACACCCTTCCCGAGGCCACAGGGCACAGGGGCACAGAGACACCAGCATCTCCCTGAGATGCACAGCCCAGCAGCAGGGCTACCCGCTGAGGGCCCCCGAGTTGGCCCAGGGTCCCAGGGTGTCTTTCTAAGTCCGGTCTTTCTCTGTCCCTTTGCTGCCACTTGCCCTGGGCAGGGGAGGACACACCCAGGGCAGCAGGAACTGGGGGGAGTGAGCCCGCTGGGCCCCTGGCTACCACCCTGGAGCAAGCCTGTGTCTTGCCTTTGCCTGGAGCCACAGAGCCACCCTTTGCACATCCCCGAGGTGCCACAGCTCTTGTGTAATGTCAACTAAAGGACATCCAGGAACCATGGGTGGGTGCTTCAGACCCCCGTCCTGAAAGAAGATCAGCAGAGACAGTCGCCCTCGGGAGCTGGGACAGGTGGCGCCGACCACTCCTGGTGCTGTGAGCCAGACCCGGGGGAGCAGCCCTGCCGGCGGGCTGGGACATGGCGCTCACTGGGGAGCTGCCCCAGAACCACACGGCTGTCTTCCAGACACCCCACTCACCCACAGGCACGATGTTGATGCTCAGAAAGGGCTGTCTGCCCTCCGGATGGGGTCCCAGGTCCTCGAGCGGGGGAGCCATCTTAGAGGGGCAGCAGGCTCTCTGGGGTGGGGCAGAGGAGCAGTTACCAGCCAGGGCTGGCCGTCTGCAGGAGGCAGGAAGGGGCTGCTCCATGGTCCCTCTGCCCTGGGGGCCCCCGGTGTCCCCCGCTGGGGTGGAGTCTGGGCCTGATGCTCATTACACACCTAGGGAGAGCAGAGGCTAGTGGGTGAGGCCTGTCCAGTTGCCCAGACTAACTCTGGGGTGGGGTGCGGGAGGGTGCTGACCACAGCCCAGCCTAGAGACGAGCAGCCGCCAAGCAGGGTGCAGGGGTGAACGTGCATGAGCCGGCCAGCAGGAGGGCCAGCCACAGCACCCTGCCCCAAACCCCAGGCCCTGGGTGAGTGGCAGTGGAGCCAGAGGGCCGGTGACTGTGTTCAGCTTTGCCACCAAAGTGCTCATTGTCTGTGCTGGGGCTTCTCCCACAGCCGATGAAGTTCAGGGCAGGACAGGAGCCGGCCAGCCAGCATGGACCACAGGAGTGGCCCACAGCAAGGAGGGTTCCTGTGCGGGCGCCCCTTCTGCAGCCCGGGATGCACTGCCCTGCCACTCCAGGTCCAGGCTCACAGGCCCTTTGTGCAGCCGATCAAGGCCACTTTGGTCGGTCTCCCATCTGCCACCTGCCCTTGGCTGCTTGTCTGAGCTCCAAGCCCCTGACTCTCATGACCCCCAGGAGGGCCCCCAGTTGCACCACAAAGCTGAGTCCCACCCCAGCCTCCACTCAGACTCATCTCCTGCCTTGACCCTCCGTTCCCTCCACAGGCTGCGGCTGCTCCGGCCCCACCCCAGCTAGCTCCCTCTGCGGAGCCTCCTCCTGGGGCCACAGAGAGGCTGCAGGGGCAGGGTGGCCCCCCTGGGCTCTGGGGCCCTCCGACATTCCCGGACAGCACTCCTGGGACCTGGCGTGGGGTGGACAGGGGACACGCGGGCCCTCTGGACCCCTGGAGCCATGCTCTGCCTGGGAAAGAACGGCAGAGCTAGGAAAGCCCAGGCTCCCGGCGGCCACCCTCCCAAGGCCCTTTGCAGGAGCCCTAGCCCATGTCCCCCTCCAGCCCTCAGGCCCCCCACCGGCCCACCCACTCCAAGATTAGCAGCAGACCTGGCCGACTAGGAGTTCTCTGGGGTTCTGCGCCTCAGAGGAGCACAGGGAGCGACCCCAGGCACCCCAAAGGCCAGAGGCACCCGGGACCTGTGTCCGCCCTCCACCCCAGAGGCCTCGCCCACCCAAACCTCACTTGTTGTCCCTGCCACAGCTCCCCTCCTCTCCTGGGCACCCCTCCAGATGCCCTGGCTCCAGGCTCACCCACAAGCAGGGTCTCCCAGCCCAGGCTCCCCTGAGGCAGCTGGACCGCTGTAGCCCCTCGGCCACACGGTCCACGAGGCCAGCACCAGCCCTGGCCACCGTCCTGGCTGGCCACTGCGGGCTCTTGAGCGGGCACTCCGCTTCTTGCCGCAGTAGGAGCCCAGGAGCCGTGCCTGGACACGTCTGCTGAGCGCGGGCCGGGCGTGGGGCTCAGGCTGGGCGGGCACAGCCGAACCTAATTAGGCAACATCGCCACCCCACAAGCCGAGGCACAGCTGCTGAGAAGCATGAGGTCAGCCTGGGCGTCCCAGAGCGCCACTCCAGGAGGGCTGAGTCCTCCTGCAGATGGGGACTCTGGGGCCCCTTGCCGCCCACCCCTGCCCTTCCAGCCACACTGGGCCCACTACAGCCTCTGGGGAAGCTGGCAGGAGCAGGCATGGGCCTGCAGAGGGGTCAGCAGCTGTGTGGGGTGGGGGCTGTGGGGCCGCCCCCAGCTAGGCCTGCTTCTCCTCCGCAGAGACCCCACCAGGAGCCCAGGTCCCCAGGCCAAGGAGGGGTCCTCCATCCTCTGCGCAGACCCCAGCCCAGATGCCAATGTCAAGCCCTGGGACCTGGCTGCTGCCCATGGGCGGCCACTCACGGTGGCATCTGTCCATGCCAGGCCGGGCCAGGCAGGTGGGGGCAGGGTGAAGAGGTCCACTTGACCCCTGTTCCCAGTAACCAGCCCCACTTAGTGAGGACATAGGGCCCAAGCCCAGACAGGCCTAAGGGTGGCCCAGCCCTCAGCCCGAGCGCCAGAGCGTGATGGCCTCCCCCACTAAAATGACCGGCCTGCACCTCGAGGCCTCCCGAAGATGAAGCCTCCACAGTCCGTGGTGCCCTTGCCTTTAGTGCTTTTGCCCACGGGTAGGGCCCGGGTTGGCCGCAGGGCCAGATCCCTACCCCAGATGACTCGGGAGCCTGTTCCATTTCTGATGCCCATGGTGCCCTGTGCTGCACCCCGCTGGCTGGCAGTAGGGGTACAGTCGGGGGAGCCCCAGCCTCTGGAGCAGGGGGTGTTGCGGTGGGGTGTCTTCTCCCTCCCAGCCCCAGACCGCACCAGCCACCCTGACCACAGACACCCATTCTCTGAGGGGAGAAAGAGAGGTCCGGAGAAATTGAGGGCAAGAAGGGTCAGCTCTCCCTTAAGCGTTTGCCCTGGGGTCCACCCCTGGCTGGACACCTGGCCCAAGGCCCCAGAGAGCTGACATTGTGTTACCCAGTGTGGGAAAAACTGCAACATTCCCAGAATGTTGGCCTCAGTGCATCTCCATATCAATAGGTGTCACCAGGGGTGGTGAGAAGTAGACATCTCCATATCAGTAGGTAATTACAGTGGGGAGCAGGGCATATCTGGAGCTGAGAGGTTGGGTGGGGTCCCTTTTTCTACAGCCAGGTCGTGAGAGACATGGACCTGCAGAAGTGGACAACTGCTTGTAAGCAATAAATGGGTTTCTCCCACTTTATTTCTCCCTTTGACCTATTTTGGTTTTAAAGGTATTTTGCCCCAGGATTTCCGTGCCTCCCCCCTCCCAGAGTTACACCCAGATATTGAAAAGAGGCCCCCTGTGTTCCAGGATGGGCATCCGGGGCCTCCCACTTCAGCCCTCCGACACCCTCCCTGCACCCCCAGGGCTGCCTGAGGCCCGCCCCTCTTCTCCAGATGGGACCCTCACTGCCCAACACCTAACCCCCCCACAGAGCTATTCCTACATCTCTGTCCCTCCAGCCTGGAGTCAGGTGACAGGGAGGCAGGTGGACACCTGGAGGGGATGCATTCAGGGCCCTGTTAAAAAAAGCATAAAACCTAAATGTGATTTATTCCCACCAGGCGGTTTAAAGATTTTAACAGTAAGGTATTAACCAAGGGCCACGTGGTGGAAAAGATGCCAGGAAGCTGCTCAGGCTGAGAGTTGGGGTGGGGGGAATTGGTAAGGGCCTGGCTATACCTGTTCGAGTTTTTTAAACCTACCAATGAAATTAAGACAAATGTAAGAGAGGGTCCACAGTGGATACAACTGGCTTAGGCGACGTCCGGGAAAGAATGTGGACCCTGCAGGACTCAGCCAATGAGGAGCCAGGGGAGGGACTCGCGTGCTAGGAAATAAATTACTTGGCGCCAACAGCCCCAGGTGTGCCTGCCCACCAGACACCCGATCGATCGTGCAAGGCCGTCACTAAAGCCTCGCTCCGCTGTCCTCTCTGTCTCCGTGTCCACTTACTGGGTTTGGGCCAGTGAGTGTGCTTCTTACAACACGTGGCATTAGGAGCAAGGCAGGCTCCACAGCAGAAGCATCTGGGAGGCACAGTGCTGAGATGGAACGCGCACACCAGAGAGCGTGCCAGAGTGCTGCTTCCCAAAGCGAGGCCCACGGAACCTCCCAGCCACCAGGTCCAAAGGAACCCCCAGGACCACCCTCCTCCCACCCTGACACGCGCATATACGCGTCGCCCCCTGTGCCGTATCTGCACACCAGGATTCCAGGAAGAAAAAGCCATTGCCAAGACCCTCCTTGATGTTGCAGGAAAAGATAAATTTTATTAAACCTCAGCTCTGACCACATCTTTCCAATAATCTGCATGAGAAAATGGGGAATTTCACACAAAGCTGCTGCCTCAAAGCATGATTTTCCAGAGGAGCGGGACGCTATCCTTCCTGGAAAGGGCAGTGGGCCAGCAAACTGCAGCCTCCGCGGCAGGTTACGCAGAACATCAAGCAGCTGTTTCCCAAAAACAGAAAATCAGCCTGATGCTTGGAGAGCAAAGTGGCAGGACTTGTTGCCAATGATACAATTCAAACTCAAAGGAAAATCACCATTTTGGAGAAGTGGTGTCCAGCACCGTCAACGTGACAGCTTCTGAATATTTAAAGGCTTTTTCTCCTCCTGAGAACAGTGGTGATGTTGGTGTGACTTCATGGAATGTGCCCACCTTTGGAAAATGTGCCTAGCTCTGCAAACTGCTTCCCAGACGACCAAACCCGGTATTCTCACGTGATGCACAGGTCCAGGTGCTTCAGAGCGGGAGCCGACCCCTGGCCCCGGTGCGGCAGGATCCCAACGGCGTCGGGCTCCCTCTGGGAGGCCGCCACTTGCTCTTTTGTTGTAGCACCAAAGAGGGAACGTGAGCAGATTTATTCAACATCCCCCACAACAGTGGCTGCACAGGTGGCCTGCAGAAGCAGAGAGGGGAAGCCAGCTGACTTCCCTGCCCCAGTGTCACAGAGATTTGCAACAATGTAAAACAATGTCGCTCTTCCCACAGTTTTTTGTTTTGGAAAAAAAAAAGGTACTTTGCATGAAGTGCTATTTATATTCCCATGTAATTGTTATTTTAAGACGGCATCAATATTTTTTAGATGATCAGTTTTCATTTCTCAGCTGGTAAATATCCAATGGCAATAATATGGGGTGTCAGGGCCTGCCAGCCAGCGCTCTGGTGGGGGGTCCCTGAGCTCGGAGCTGGGAGGAAATGGCCACAGCTACCGGCCTCCGGATTTCCGGATCTCCACCAGGTAAACAGGGGCAAACCATCTCTAGATAAGAGTACACATAATGTAAGACATGAATAACTAGGAATTGGTAAGTTTTGAGTGTTTATTATTAGCTTGTTTTCTATACAATTTATGTTTTACATAGTTTAATTAATGTCATTTTATTCTAAGAGTGGCTGTGCCTACAACCAGCTTACAGAATTACTGAAGATCTGTCAGCTCTCCTGAGCTGGTACAGTGGCTCTAAAACCACTAGACACACTGCTCCCGGGCAGTTCTTTGGGGTCCCTGACAATTGGTCAGCGTGGAAAGGAGTCTGCAGACCACAGCATTAGCACACTGCTAATACTGATCTAAAATAACTGTGACACTATGCATTCTGAAAAACACCAAAAATAAAATACACACATTGACCACACAGCACAGTGAGTCCCAGGGCGGGACAGGATGGGGGCAGTGACAGATGGACTAATCAGCCGGGATTAGGGCCAGGACGGGTGAGGAGGGCCCTGGAGAAGAGGTTCCTGGGAAGTGGGCGTCTAGCCCAGAACTGCGTCTGCATAGCTGAGAAGCACTCTCTGGGAGCCTCAGTTTCCTCATTTGTACACTGGGGGGTAGAGTGCCCCGCCTCCACTGGGGGGTAGAGACCCCCACCAGCCGAGTCCAGCAAAGCCACGCCTGCGTGCTCGACGTGCCTTTTTCCATATGCTTGTGCTACAACGCCCCACAGGGCCGGCTGCAATCACTGGGTGCCACCCCACAAACAGATGGGCCCCAGCATGCCCCCCGCCCTGCCTGAACCCCATCCTCTCCACCCGAGAGCATCAGGCAGCCCCATGCTCTGCCTCCCCACCCAAGATGGAAACTAAAGTCTGGTGAGCTGTCCCCACATGACAGCCAGCGCAGGGGGTTACAATGGAATCAAACGGCCCTTGGAGCCCAGAGGAAGGGCCCAAGGAGGGACAGCAGAGACCCCGCCTGGAGAGCCTCCATCAGACATCAGCTTCCAGCCCCAGATGGAATCCTGAATCTGGTGGCTGCTGAGGGGTCTGTTGAGAACAAGAGGAGCCAAGGCTGTGGATAGGGGTGGAGGGGAGCAGGCTATGTCCCTGTGTTCCTAACCCAGCACTTGCTGGGCTCCTGACCAGTGACCTGGAGGCAACCCTGCGGGGTCCTGAGCCCACCCCAGCTGCCACGAAGCTCCAGTGTGGCAGACGGTGTGAAGGGGCTCAGGGGAATGGGGGCCTGGCTGAGGCTGTAAGCAGCTCTCTGCTGGGGGGGGCTTCCTCAGACAGAAGGGACAGTGTGTGCAAAGGCCCTGTGGCAGGGGCACCCCACGCCCCAGTTCTGCTCCCGCAGACAGAAGCCTGGCCCCCTCCAAGGGTTCCCTGGGGCTGCTGAGGGGGAGCCTTTCTCAGCTGTCACCTCCACAGCTGGGGGCACCAGCCCTGATCCTCCCAGTTTGTCCCTCACATCCTTGCAGCTCCCAAGGACGTGTCCCTCTGTGGGGGGCTGAGGCTGTGAGTGTGCACTGCTGGAAGCCTGCCACCCGCAAGCCTGGGTTCACTGCTCTGGTCCATGGAGTTCTGTGCCCACCTGCCCCCGTTTCTTTCTGGATGTTTACATCTCTTCAGACTCGGCAGGAAACTACAGGACATCTCCAAGGGGCTGTGTGCTTTAGTGGCATGGGTTCTTTGCCTGGCACACATCTTTGGGGCCCACTTAGTGTGCCCTGTGGTTGCCGGAAGAGCCATCAGAAGTGTTGCCATTGGCAGCCACTGAGAGCTGCAAATCAGGACAAGCCTGAGAACCCCAGAACTGCACCCAGAAGCCAGCTGGACACAGAGACTGAAGCCAGGTCTCCGAGGTCCCACAGCCTCATGCAGTGTTTGAGGAGGGCGGAGGTGAGGACTCCCAGGGCACATCCACCACATGCCTACCCTCACAGCCACTCCCACCTCACTTGTCCCACAAACACACCCAGAGCCCTGCCAGGCTTTCCCCAGTGCCCAGGGAGCCTCGCTCTTCTGGGAGTCCCGCCTTGCAGGGTCCTGGACTCTCTCTCTCTCCTTTTCTCCACCCTCTGGCCTCCCTGGACCTGGGGGTGTGGCCCATCATCTGGCCTCTAGAGTGGATAGAGCCCTCCCTCTCCTTCTGCCAGAGCAAAGCCTCCTCCTCCAAGAAGCCCTCCTGTACTGCCTCTTCCTTGGGCCCTTAGAGGCCAGCCCTTAGTTACCCACCAGCTTGGCCACCGTGGGGAGCCCTTCCCCACACCCATCATCAGGCAAAGCTGTTGGGCTACAGATACGGAATCAGACAGAACTGGCATTTACCCTGCACCTGCTTTGGACCAGGCACAGCTTCTCTGAGCTTTGATTTCTTAGCTGTGCACATGGGCGATGGCCCCTTTCCTCCTCAGCCTCCCAGGCTCCAGATTCCCCTCCTGGCTTCTGTGAAACCCTGACAGTGGCCCAGAGCCCCAGGTCAGGCCTGCTCCCCTCAGACTCACTGTTCTCCCAGGAATCCTGCCCTGGCCACAGGCAGAGCCCCGGCCACCTGCTGCGCTGCAGCATGCCCAGCATCATCTCCCAGACCAACCCATGGCCCTTGTCCTGACCCCTACCTAACAAGTTCCTTGACGACACTGTGGGCCCAGGCACCCCACCTCAGACAGGAGCGGCTCCCGCAAAGGGCGGCAGCGCTCACCTGTGCTTTGCGCCCCCAGGCCGCCTGCCCAGCTGGGGACCCAGGCCCGACACCCAGACACGTGGTGTCCAGACACGCAGCCTTCTCCAGCTTCCCGGATCCTCCAGCCCCTGGGCTGGCGTCTCTACCTCGACAGCCCCTCTGCCATCCCTGGACAAGAAGTACCCACTTCTTAAAGGGTGGGGGAAGGCGTCCAGGGAGAGCACCGCCTGTGGGCACCCCCATCCCAGGGAAGGGCTGTGTCCCACCCAGCATCTAGCCCTGGGGGTTACAGGGAGGGAGTCAAAGGGCCCACCGTGCTCAGAAGCAGGCCCAGCAAACGGAAACCCCTGCTTTGGACACCCATTTTCCTGGCTGCCTGGGGCGCCATGGCAGGCGCTCCATAGATATCAGCTAACTACAGCATTCCCATCCCACATACAGGAAAACCCAGGCAGGGGTGAGAAGGAACTTGCGTGAAGCCCCCTTAATGGTGAAAGGTCCGCTGAGATCACAGAAGGTAAAGTCAGAGGCCAGCCAGGTTGTCCCTGGTCAGCGCCGCCTGTGGCTCAGCCCCGGCTGGAGAAAAGGGGCAACACACAAGGGTGGAAATGGGGTGCCCCTTTGCTGTAGGCCCATGGGTGGGTGCGGGGCCCCACACCAGGGCTGGGCCGAGCCAGCCCGTCTGCCCGCGCAGTCGGCCGCTTCCCTGAAGTCCACAAGCTTTTCACCCTCCTGCCAGAAGCCACCCAGGGGCAGGACCTGCCGTCCAGGCTGCAGGCAAAGGGTGAAGGGCGCAGGCCCACGGGCAGCGAGGGACAATGGGGCAGACGCCCCTCCTCTGGCAAGAGCCCTCGCCCCGCCCCCACCTGTCCCAGAACCTGGGACTGCAGCAAGATAGGGAGCCCAGGCCGCGTGGCCCCAAGGAGGAGGCAGTGATCCCCTGGGGCGGGCACTAGATCCAGCCCTCCGAAACTCTCCCCCGCCACATTCCCATCTTTACACGGATGCCACGCGGTCACGCGGCTCCGTCTTCGGCTCTGACCCAGGGTCACTCTCGAGTGAAACTCATTCCCTAAGCTCCTAAAACTCCACCCGTTAACCTGCAGAGCATGTGGGCCGACGGCGCCGCCTGCTGGCCGTTCAGGGTCTGACCACCCAGCCCCAGCCACCGAGCCGGGGGCACCTGAGGCGCCCCACCAGCACAGCGCCGCGGCGCCCGGGGGAAAACGGCAGAGCTGGACCGGAGACGCCCACGTCCCACCTCCGGGAGTACAACCGGGACTTGGGTACACTGCTTCCCGGCTCTCCCGCCCTCCGGGAGGCTGAGATCCTCGCGGGCAGCCGCGGAGGGGACGCGCCCGCAAGAGGCCACGCCCAGGGCTGGAGGCGGGAGCCCGCCGGGTACCCCGAGGGAAGGAGCCAAGCTTTGCGCCGACCGTCAACGTCCCCGGGGCCAGAAGCTCGTGACACCCCAGGGTCTCCGCGTGGCCTCGTGCCTTCCGCCTGGGCCCCTCCGAACGGTTCGCCGGATGCCGCCCGAAGCTGCGGGCGTCTCTGCGCCCAGGACACAGGGGCACAGGCGGGGGCGCGGGCGCCTCAGCAGCTGGGCTGCACGACCACCCGGGCCGGGCCGCTTCCCTCTCCGAAGGGGCCCCGCTGCTGGGCTGTGCGGCCCGGGGCGGCACCGGTCCCGCCCCCCACCCCTCGCCCCTGCGGGCCCCGGGCCCCCCGGCGCCCCCCCGCCAGCCCCGCCCCGGCCCCCCGCGGGGTGTGACGCAAAGGCCTGCGCGACTGCCGTCATCAGGCGCCGCCGCGTGGGCGTGGCCAGCCGCTCCCTGGGCCCCGCGGACCGCGGCCATGGCTCCCTCGGCCGCCAGCGCCCCGGAGGTGGTTCGCGCGGCGCAGAAGGACGACTACTACCGCGGCGGGCTGCGGAGCGCGGCGGGCGGCGCCCTGCACAGCCTGGCGGGTGAGGCCCGGCCGGGTGAGGCCGCCGAGTGTCTGAGTGCGGCTGGCGCTCGGACCCGCGCAACCACACGGGCCCGGCCCGCGGTGGGCCTGGGTGCCCCGCATGGGGGTGGGCGGACCGTACCCCAGAGCCCGACCGGGCAGGCTCGGCCCACCGAGACTTGAGCTGAAGGAAGAAGCGGATGCCCTTGGGCTCCGCACCGAGCTGCTGGGTGGGGCGGGGCCCGGGGATCGGGTATGAAAGAGAGCGAATCCGTGGCCCTGTGGGCGCACGAGCATGCTTTCTCGGAGCAGCGGTGCCCGGTGGTGAGTGTGAAGAGCCAGCGTGGCCCAGACAACAGCCAGTCTCCTGTTTGAAGCGGGGAAGCGAGGCTGGGGCTGTAGGTAGGGGGCGAGGTGGCAGTCAAGCAAGCTTTAAGCAGGGAGGATGTGAGAACAGATGGTTTATATACTTGATTTTCGCTTTGATTGTTCCTAATCCTCACCACCCGCCCCAGGTAATAATGCTGTCTCTGCTCTAAGGTGCGAAGAGGTGGCTGGAGTGCCGGAGAGAGGTTGAGCTGCTGTCGGATGCAGCCTACTTTGGCCTCACTACGCTCGCAGGTAACAGCCCGGGGACATGTGAGGACTGAGGGCCTACCGCATATGCCAAGCCCAGAGGACAGGGAGGGGGCTGCCAGCAGAGCGAGGCACCTGGAGGTGCATCTCTGTGTCCCCAGCGCTGGCCCAGATATGCCTCAGAGAAGAGGGTCAGTCCGAGCCCCTGCCCTACTGCCAATAGGTCAGCCCTGAGCACTGGCGGGGACCTCTGAGAGCTTTGAGTTCAACCGGACACGTCTTGTCTGCCCTGTTCATCCTTTTCTGTGTCCCTGAACCTTGTCCAGGGTGCCATCGGGACCATTTTTCTGTGGCTGAACCCTGTGCCTGAGATGGGTCCTGACATTGAGGCCTGTCACAGGGTGTGTGCAGCAAGGCCCCTAACTCCTTTAAGTGGAGAAGTGGGGACCCGGTAGAGAGCAAGACCTGGTACTGAGGGAAGGAAAAGTGTTGGCAGGTCCGTGCCT